TGAGTCCTGACGAAGCCAGACTTTTTCAAAAATAACCCTGACTCCTCGGTCTACCCAGGCTTAATTGGGGACCAGGTAAGTCCTGGGAAGTAAAGACGGTCGGCGTGATGTTGATCATATCATCTACTAAGTGGCGATTGGTCTTTAAAATACAGGACTACCCTTTATGTCCAATACACCAGAAGGCGTATAGAAGGGCAATTTGCTCATGTGTGTATGCACTTCTCTTCATACGCGTATTGACGATGGTCTAGTCGAGAAAACTTACCCAGAATTAATAAGTTGTTTATTAAATAATGACTGGTTTCTACCTTGGGTAAAACAGCGTCATTTCATTTAGTATTTTTTTCTTGCACAGAATAGTTAACTAGATTAGAGTAGTACAGTAGATAGCTTCTACGTCTTAATTATACTAGTCAAAAACCAAAATATACCATTAATCTTAAGTAATTTTGGTGTGCGGAAAATAAAAATAACAGTAAAAATGTTGACTGGTTCTAGTTTTCAACATCTTTTTAATTACGGTCAGTTTATATATATATATATATATATATATATATATATATATATATATATATATATATATATATATATATATATATATATATATATATATATATAAAACTGACCGAAACTGAAAGTTAATACTAACGACACCTCCTCGTGCACTTTTTTTAAGAGAAAAAAAAGTTTAAAAGTCAGTTTTCTCTAATCTCTATATTTCAGTTTGTTGTGTGTGTGAAATCCTAAAATCTAAGCCAATATAAAGACTAGAAATATGAAATTTTGTATGCATACTCCGTAAACAATATTATAGGGACTGGTCTATCTAAAAGTAGATTTTAGAAAGTTTTTGTTTTTTAAAATTTGATTATTGTCCGATAATGCTAGATTTTTTTTGACTTTTTCAATAAACCTCCTTTTTAAAATTCTACAAAAAATGTTTAAAAACATGTTTAAAGTAAATAAACTAGACCTGTACCTGTAAATAGGATAAAAGGTCATGAATCCAGCATCTATTGTTGAATACCTATGTTTGTTTTGAAAATTTTATAATCCTAAGTACATATTGTTTTTTTCACAAGATGGCGGCTATTGCCATGACAACTATGAATTTTTTAACACTTAAAGTATACAAATGTAATAACTTGTATCCCTACAAATGACCATTATAAAATAACTGCTCTAACTCTGTAAATAAAAAAAAAAATTTTTGGTGTAGTGACCCCGCTGACCGGCAAAAGCCAAACTATGAATTTTGCAGTCACTGTAATTTAGCGAGTCCATTGTTCAGCTCAACAACTGTGACTTCTGCATGGTTGCTCCAGCTGGGAAAGCCATGTCAACACAGACAAAAATGAACTGTTGAATATCTAAACATTCCCTATACAGTACGAATATCTAAACATCCCCTTTACAGTACGTATATCTAAACACCCCCTCTACAGTACGTATGTTTAAACATTCCCTATACAGTACGAATATCTAAACATCCCCTCTCCAGAACGTATATCTAAACACCCCCTCTACAGTACGTATATCTGAACATCCCCTCTACAGTACGTATGTTTAAACATCCCCTTTACAGTACGTATATCTGAACATCCCCTCTACAGTACGTATATCTGAACATCCCCTCTACAGTACGTATATCTGAACATCCCCTCTACAGTACGTATATCTTAACATCCCCTCTACTGTACGTATATTTAAACATCCCCTCTACAGTACGTATATTTAAACATCCCCTCTACAGTACGTATATTTAAACATCCCCTCTACAGTACGTATATTTAAACATCCCCTCTACAGTACGTATATTTAAACATTCCCTCTACAGTACGTATATTTAAACATCCCCTCTACAGTACGTATATTTAAACATCCCCTCTACAGTACGTATATCTGAACATCCCCTCTACAGTACGTATATCTTAACATCTCCTCTACAGTACGTATATCTGAACATCCCCTTTACAGTACGTATATCTGAACATCCCCTTTACAGTACGTATATCTGAACATCCCCTTTACAGTACGTATATCTAAACATCCCCTCTACAATACGTATACCTAAACATCCTCTCTACAATACGTATATCTGAACATCCCCTTTAAAGTACTATATCTAAACATCCCTCTAAAGTACGTATATCTAAACATCCCTTTACAGTACGAATATGTAAACATCCCCTTTACAGTACGTATATCTAAACATCCCCTCTACAGTACGTATATCTGAACATCCCCTCTACAGTACGTATATCTGAACATCCCCTCTACAGTACGTATATCTGAACATCCCTTCTACATTACGTATATCTAAACAACCCTTTACAGTACGTACATTTAAGCATCCCCACTACACTACGCCAAGTGGCTATAACCTACCACTTTCCTAATTATGAGAATCACTTTTATCTGCTCCAAGAGACCTAGATTTTGAGCAAACCACACTTAATAACCCAAAATGAACTGAGTGATTTTGTAAGAGATTTGAATTTATCAAAGAACAAGTGGAAGTCTTTAAGTTCCAGACTGCAACAGTGGAATTTCCAGGCAGAAGACTTTTGCATGTACAGAATGCACCAAAAGCCGCTAAAAACATTTTTTTTTTCAAAAAGGATGACATTTCTACGTGCCACATTATTTCTGGCTTAATGGTAGCCCTCAGCTACAGACAGAAAGAGTGGAGCTTTTGCCTAATTAAAAAAGAGACTTGAAGCTCTTTTGTTGAGTAATAGTAATGTATTACGATTATTCCAGTTGGTAAAGCAGTTCATGTGAATGAAACTTATGAAAACAGAAAGCAGTTTTTGAAGTGTATAGACTACGATCGACATCATTGGTCACTTTGCGTTGAATTAAAAATTGTTGCTTTTTCTCTTGGAATCCAGTGTGGAAACACCAAATACTGTTGTTTTCCTTGTGAGTAGGATAGCAGTGCACGAAGGGACCATTACATCAGTAGATAGTGGTCACTAAATTTTTTATTGGTCATTTTCACGAAACAAATTATGCATTCACCCTCAACAGTTGCATCATATGTATCTAAATTGACAACAATTAAACAAACTAGTAGCACGTGTACTGATAAATTTGAATCAATAAACATTTTTTCAATTTCAATTTAGTTTTCTAGGTAAGATTAACTATTTTCCTTACTTTTACAAATAACGTTAGAAAACTGGTTGACTAGTGTTTTAAATCTCTTGGAGGTAAAATGGGGAATGTGGGAATTCCAAATGTTAATTTTCTAATAGGATGCAACTCTTCAAGTCGTAGGGGCTGTTAATATTTCAGGTAGTAACATGAGGGTTTGGGACGAGGAAAGAGGGTGCACATTTAGATTGTTATTAACGGCATTGTTTCCTTGTATATGTTAGTTTGATTCCCGTTACTTTTAAGGTTCTGTATTTGGGCTTTGCTCTGAGATCTTCAAGGAAAAACTAATACAGGAACACCTACAATAAAATTGTGTGGAAAGTAATTGAGGAAGCGTCAGCAGTGTCGTTAATAAAACTACTGCAAATGTAAAAACTAAAGATTCGAGCCTGTTATAGAGATCTATGCGAGATGCGTCTTCCGTTGCAATTTAGTTTTTGGCGTAAGGGTTCGGTAATCATTTTCGCCCTATTTGGCCATCTGATTTATGTTCATAATGCCAGGAGCATTATATCTTCAACTTTCGGTGTTGTGTTGTTTGTCTTAGATTGTTTTTTTATACCTCTATTCTCCGTCAACCTTTCAGTTTACACGGGGTTTGATATAAATGAAAAGAAATGCGAGAATGCATGTGTTGTAACCAAGTAGCGCGTATTTCTATGGATCAGTGCTGGAGTTGGGCATAAGCTAAATAATCTACAACTCACGACCTCACAATTGCTTCACACATTTCCATTTGTATTCTTTACAGATGCAGTTTTCTTTAAATAAATCTTTCAAGCAATTTTCTTTTAATTTTCCATTACAAGTGTTTTAGTTTCTAATTTTGAGCCTGTTAAAGGATTAAATAGTTTCTGTTACTTTGCAAATATATTCATTATTATGATTTAATAATTTCTATGACTTCACAAATATTTTTTATTATTAGTTTTAATAAACACTAAACGATAAAATGTTCTCATTATCAGTGTATGTAAAAGACATATATATATATATATATATTAAGGTTACCCATGATTAGCTGATGTAATTAAAAAGGTTTTATCGCTTTATATAGCTTAGGCCTCATGAAGTCTAAATATAGTTCTGCTCTTGATTATTAAAATACAAGACAGACAGACATTTGGAATTGGTTGTAGGCTTGTAGTTATCTTTGGAATCATGTTTTAAATTGAAATGGATGTTTATCTTCGCGAATATCTGAACATAAATAACACACTATTATTTTAAAAGAAATATGAGAATAGCTTGATTTGTTTATAAAAAGCAAATGCGTGTATTACTATTTGTATTCCTCAGATCACAGAATAACACAATTTAGAGCAGCTGGGACCTGCACAAATGGCAGATTGAAGCTGAAAGCTGTGGCCAATAAACTTGACATAGGCGTGTGATTTTATGACTCTCACTCGACCTGCGTCCAGAACAACCCATCTACACTGAAAATCCTCGAGACGTCAGAACAGATCAGATTGGATTAACACAGTAAACAACTACACACACGTTCACAATTAGATTGGACATAGAATGGTATTTGATATATGATATTTCAAGGACGTCAAAATCAATTCCTGACAACAATTAATTACCTGACGATAATTAAGCTGTCAGCGTGAGAAATTATGAGGAAAACAGGTACATAATCCCTACCTCTTCATTCTGAATTCTCACATAATCCCCAGTTTCTTCATTCTGAATTCTCAAAAGACTGAGAAAGTGGAAATTCACTTCATTTCCACTGAGATGAATACGCTCTTCTGTGTTTGTTAGTCAAACTTTGTGCATCGAGAAAAACTTGGTATTCAGGCAGCAGTACATGCTAACATTTCATGATCATGTCTGAGCGACCTACTTTAGTGAATGGTTACCTAGGACCACAGCCTCTCTTCAGCCAGCTGGGATTGTCCACTAAGAGTCACCATGAAGCCGAATTTGAAACTCCAGAAAATGAATTTGTGATCAAAATGAGAGCAACAAAGCCGGTCAAGATCACAAGTAAAGTTGTCAGTGAGGCTACCGGCGGAGAATCTTTGGAGCGGGTGTTTATCCAGACTCGTGGTGAAGATGTCAACTTGCTGGTCAGTCTGGATAAACCTGGGTATCATAGACTGCAAGTTTACGCGCTGCCGGCTTCAGATGATAACAAGCAGCTTCCTGGGGTTTTCAACTATCTGATAAACTGTAAGAGCACACCTAGGAAGTCTCGACTATTTCCGAAGCAGTTCGCTCAGTGGAAGGACGGGTGCATACTACTGGAGCCCTTTTCTTTGGCTGGTGATTCTGTAAAAGGAGATGTTACGTTCAGGGTTGTGATTCCCAAAGCTCACGCAGTGGCGGTCACGATCGGTGATGACTGGACTCACCTAGAACCTAAGGAAAACAGCATCTGGACGGGTCGAGTCACTAACATAGAAAAATACAAGGGAAAAGGACTTAACGCTGTGCTGAATGCTAACTTTAACGAAGCAGACGAGACAATATATTCATCGCTACTTCAATATACTCTTTGATTTATACATTATTTTTGTTTCTGTTACCGCTATCATTTGTTAATTTAATTGGCAATTGATAGTCATACTTACTGCAGTATACCTAGTTATGCATTGCTGCTATATTCTGTCATTATAAGCTGCTATATTCTGTCATTATAATCATATGTTAATCTAGTTGAATATAATTATTCTCCTCATAACATATTTTTCTAGACGTTGCCATCACCCTACTTTAACAACCAATTTCAAATACTTTTGTCTTTCTTCGTAATATCTAATATGTATTGCTTGCTACTTTCTTCATGTACCTCTGTAGTGGTACTAAGTTCTCTTGGTCATCACTTGTAGAAAAACATCAAAATATAAAACTGTTTTCATTTAAAAAAAAAAAATTCGCATTGCTTTGGTTTCCTGTCAGGTATATATGGTTTTAAATGAAAACAGATGTGAAGTGAATCTACATTACATAATATGTGCCGTAGGTACTTAAATCAAGGGAAAGACGAAAAGCGGGATTTAAGAAAAACAAAACATCTTGAGTCGCTGCAACTATGCGTATTTTAGGCCTCCATAGACATGACCGATTGCCAAAACCGTCACAATGACACGTGAATGAGGCTACAATGTGGCTCTCTGATTACTGCTCTGCCTTTCCTCAAACATGAGCTCCCATGATATAGTTGACTTTTTACAATGATGGAAAGAAGCGAAATAATTAAGTGTCCATCCAGGCAGAGATTTTTATCATGGAGTTGTTCTGTTCTTCTGTGAGGTGTTGAAAGTTACATAGCTATTATGTGCTGAATATGAATAGATTCATGTAAATATTTTCTGTTACCTAAATATTATGTGTTGAATAAATTCAGTTGAAGATTTTGTATAAATTTCCGAGGTTCCACTTTGAAGACATATACACAATTTATAATTCAGTATTATTCATGTTAGGTTTATAAGTGCATATCTTTATTCCCTCTTCAAATTGTGTCTTTGTTAAATGCGCTCACATGTAATTAAAATTATGTTACGTTTATTGAACTCTTGTAATCTATGTCGTCAGTAAACGTTTAAAAGTGTGAGTATTTAACTATTATTCTGTTTGTTTACATTGTTTTCACTGTTACAGAGATTTTTCCCATTAACTTCGTTTTTCTATGTTGAATGCAAACTTAATATTTTGCTCATTTTTTTTTGTTTCACAGCTTCGTTATGCTCATTTGCATCCCCCCCCCCCACACACACATATGCACACGAGCATACACACACACACACACACACGCACGCACGCACACAGACACTCAACAAACATACTCGCACACACAAACACACACCTTTGTATGTTTGCGGGCACTCCACCACCCACACACCCGACACACATACATTCACACATATCACACGCAGGTACACACACACACACACACACACACACACACAAAACCTCACAAGCATACATGCAAACGCTCTCTCTCATGTTTGCTCACTCTTCAACACCCACACCCCCGACTCACACACAGATACATACAAAGACACACACACACAAACACACACACAGACATTTCAAGGAAGCCTCGATGGGAAGTATTTAACATTTTACTTGGTTCAAAGTAAATGCTGCTTGCGGGTTGTTGTTCATTCACCAATCGAATGAAAACGGGTGGTTTAAAATCTGTATTTAGCACCGTAAGCACGATTCACCACTGGCATGATAAGGATCCTTCAGTTTGCTTTCTTACAGATGATACTTCTACAGCATTTATGCAAGTTTCAGATACTGCGGCAGTTGTATGGGGACTTCATCATTTAATTATGCTTAAATATTAAAGATTCATCTTTTATGTAAATTTGCATACATTGCTCGCATTGTATTCATGCATGTCCTCCTGTGCGTGAAGCGCCCGGTTTTGGGTGAACAGGAATAGACAGTTTCCTTGTGTTGGTTTGAAAGTCGCAAATATTGCAGCCTAACTGTAAACTTGTGAAAAATAAAAAAGTATCAACGGCCCTGTTAAGGGCCAAGAAGAAGAAGAAGAAGAAGAAGAAGAAGAAGAAGAAGAAGAAGAAGAAGAAGAAGAAGAAGAAGAAGAAGAAGAAGAAGAAGAAGAAGAAGAAGACGTGGACGCTGCTTTCACATTGAAATTTACTGTATTTTATGTATACTTGAGGATAATATTTCAGTATATAAACTTGACGATAATATTTCAGTATATAAATGACTATAAAATGTTATGTTTGTGTAAAAAAAAAAACAATAACCTCCGTTATTGTATGCATGTATTATGAACATTGTACACATGGGAAAGTGTTACAGTATAATTGTTATATACAATATTATCAATTAAATCGAAGTCGGAGTACTTATGCCTGAGAGGCAAGGAACTAACAGTTTGCATGCAAATGAGTTAGATTTGTGAAATGGATGTGCACGCAACACTGTTTCTGGGCCAGGACTAGAGTCCAGAAGTGGACGAACAACTAGAACTTTCCGCTGCAGTTTAAAGCCGATGAACACGAAGAAAAAGCAGATATCAGTATATCGGGTCCTCTAGCTTCAACCATTTGTCATTTTTGGTTTGATGTATAAGGCACAGCATAAAATTAACTCGCTGTAACAGCGAACTAACCAGGATTAACCCGGTGGCTTCCATTCCGGTACTCCTCTCCCGTTAACGCCAGCACATATTTTGTAGGTATTAAATCAATTCTATTTATATCCGTTCTGGTGAAATTTACCGAGAACAGGTACGGATATGTGCAATAGCCGAGTCAGTTTCAGAGAGATAATTGGGAGAAAGGTACACACAGGTGTGATATTTTTGGCCCTGAATGCAGAAACAAAAATGTGATTCACACTTTTCTCCGTGCGCACGCGCGCGCGCGCGAACGCACACACACACACTCACATGTGTGCGCTCGCAGGCACACACACATGAATGATATATACGTCATGGCTAGGGTGACCACAATATTATGAGCTGAAATCGGGTCATCTTACTAATTTTATGAGCATAAATCGGGACATCTTACTAATATTTTGAGCTGAAATCGGGACATCTTACTATTTTAAGCTGAAATAGGGACATCTTACTAATATTATGGAGCTGAAATCAGGGACATCTTACTAAAATTTTGCGCTAAAATCGTGACATCCTAAGCAAGTCGGTTTAACCATCCCCTCCCTCTACAAACTTTTGTGTTTTTGATAGGTCACTGGGCTGTAAGGGTTAATTACTCTCTCAAAAATGGTCGCCGAGAAGGAAAAAAAAATACGCTCTTTAACTGCATTGAAAAAGCTGCAATGAAACTTTGAATCAAGACATCTCAGGCATTAAAATATCTGTTCTAATTTAGTATTCTCGAGCTAATGCATAGACAGGTCCTGTTCACGTTTCCTGGCCCATTTACACACTTCATGACCTTTCATTTATACTTTCTCAGACTCTGCTACGTCGGAGGGGTGTCACTTTCTTTCCTCCAGTTATATCAGCGCCGATGTCGCGTGTTCTATTCTGCACGATGACACAGCTTTTAACGACTCCAGAAAATCTCGAACTGGTCCAAACCAAAACTTCCCTCCCTCAGCCTCAACCTAGGTCTCACAAGAGACTTTTTCAAAGAAAGCAGTACACCGTGACACCCCTCTGACCTAGATCAGATTGCGATAGTGTGTAGATGGGCTAGATAACGTGAACAGGTCCCATAGATATTTTACAAAACGGGACAGTTGAAGTTTAATCTGGGCGACCGGAACAGACCTTAAATAACGGGACTGTCCCGTTGAAAACGGAATGTATGGTCACCCTAGTCATACCATAAGTCTGCAATGTATCCATATGTAATCCTTCAGAGTAAGTATAACAGATCATTACAAGTACGGACACACTTAATTTCAAAATTGCTAGACATACAAAATACATAACACAATTTATTACGTATATCGTTCAACACGATTTGTACAAGCTGTAGAAGTAAGAATCAAGGCTACCCCTGGCAGGTCGTACTCTGACGGATCAGATTGGGGAAACTGTACAGACGGTGTCCACCTATAAGCGGTTGAAAAAAAGGGAGCCAAAGAAGCCAGTGAGAAACTGAATTTAGGACATGTAGAATTCATTATTCTAACAGCAGATGTAAAGCCAAGTGAAATTCTCTTGCACCTGCCCTTGTTGTTCGAGAACAAAAATGTACCTTATATATATATATATATATATATATATATATATATATATATATATATATATATATATATATATATATATATATATATATATATATATATATATATATATATATATATATATATATATATATATATATATATATATATATATAATATATTTTTTTTTTTTTTTGGGTTCTAACAAAACAAACTTTGTCGTGTGTCGCAGCCTGTAATTGCATGCTCGGTCATACAATGAAATGCCCCTCTATTTTTGGTTTCCCGGTGAGTTTTCTTTTTTTCGTCTGCACAGCAGATGTAAAGCCAAGTGAAATTCTCTTGCACCTGCCCTTGTTGTTCGAGAACAAAAATGTACCTTATATATATATATATATATATATATATATATATATATATATATATATATATATATATATATATATATATATATATATATATATATATAATATATATATATATATATATATATATATATATATATATATATATATATATATTTTTTTTTTTTTTTGGGGTTCTAACAAAACAAACTTTGTCGTGTGTCGCAGCCTGTAATTGCATGCTCGGTCATACAATGAAATGCCCCTCTATTTTTGGTTTCCCGGTGAGTTTTCTTTTTTTCGTCTGCACTGTATTTACAAAGTGTCTATGAAATAATTACAAACGAATAACGCACCAAACATCTGGTGTTCATTAACAACATTCAGTTCCACGATCCCTCCTGGGACGTCGAGTGCCATGCATTTATCCTTTCATCAAGCATTCTTGCTTTGTCTGGCATCCGTTTTCTGTACAGGAGAGACGACTAAGGTATTTGCCGAGTATATGTCGCCGCCTGTGGCAT